TTGAAAGAAACTACAATAACAATAGTCAAGTAGACTGAGGTTTCAGAAAGATATCTATTCAGTTCTATAAATCAGAGACCATCAGTTAGAAGTTAAAAGTGCAGCTTCTGACTACAAAAGTTTAATTATCAAAAGATTACAAAGATAGTGTGAAAGAATTCAGGATTAAATATTATTTACACTTATTAAGACCTAGGACTATTGCATATAAATTTAGTAAAAGTACTTAGTTGTATAGTAGTTAGAAGTAATCAATGAACACTGAGATGGATGATGTAAATATTGAAGTATCTCCTGATCTTTACAGATATCGTTACATAATGGAGAAAAGATTTTAACAATATTAAATTATTCTACCAATGAATCTTTATTACTATATCTTTATTGTACTCTTAAGCAAGTTCTTGGTAGTCGTACATGAAAAGAACCTTATAGTGCCTTCCTAGATAATATCTATCTATACCAATGATCCTGGCCTAAGTCATCTCAATCCGTATTAGGGTAGGCTTCGGCCTAACAGTTGTATTGTGTAAACTGTGGCTGTACCTACGATACCCATGTACTGTTGTGTATACCTACTCCAGTGAGGTCTCTGGTGGCCTTGTGGAAGACATGGAGGATATGACAATTACTTGTTACATGGATTTCATGGTGTTAATTGTATTTTCCATGCAGGTGTCATTGGTTTAAGCTGGGAATCAACTGTGTAATAACTTGTTTTGCTTGAGGAGATGGTTTGGTAGAAGTGGAGATATTACTTTTGTTATTTAGGTTTTTAGGTCATATCTCAAGGTACATGTCCTGGATTTTTTTTCTTTACTTAATTGCAAAATAAACTGATGATTTAATAAAAAAAAAAAAAGAAAAAAATACTAATCTAAGTTAAACTTCCCTAGACTCAATCCCAAATTATTAATTGAAATTATAAGTAATATTTTAAATATCTTTCATGTCTTGCTGGACTTGCTCCAATTTCCTTAATACGATAGATAAACTTTTATAAAACTTGAAATACTTTCCATCTCTTACAAATTTTATCATATATTTTTACTTATTTTCCAGCCAATTGCATATAATCTAGACTTTATCAAAATATTTAAGAATAAATTTCAACCAATATTGCAGTTGAAATTTTTTTTTTCTTCTTTCTCTTTGTAGTATTAATTGCTGATAATTGTAAAACACTATTCACTAGTTGCTAAAAATGCAAGTATAATTACTTTCTTAAAACAATATCAGTATGCACTTATAAAATTATAAGATCATAATATTGTTATGCTAACTAGTCACTACACAAAAAACAATATAATCATCAATCATAAGTCTTGTGAAGCTCTTGAACCTTGCTAAAGTACAGGGATAAAAGTGTTCATCTAGCACTGAAATAACAACTCTACAACTACTATAAATTTACTACTTATACTACCACAACTACTTAGAATAAATTGAAAGTTTAGATAGACATCCATTGAATGTAAGAAAAACCTTATATGAAATTGCAAATAATAAAATCCAATACTTTGTTTACTATGCCCTTACACTTAAAATATCACTTGCTCTCTTAGGCATTGACTCCCATATTCTTTTCAAGAATTCTCTTGGAATAAAATCTTGAGCCCTAATCATATCAAGAGCTTCTGCTAGAGATCTCCTAATAGTTTCTGGATCCCCTTTAGTCTTGTAAATGTTAGAAAAGTATTGGTGTAGCCTTTCTTTCATCCACTTCCAACAGTGCTCAATAGATTTAAGGTCTGGAGAATTGAGTAGCCATTCTATAACCTGTATGTTGTTTTCTGCAAACCAAGCTATAATTGTAACAAGACTCCAAGAGGTACTATTAAAGTTAGCAAGGCCAATACCCATACCAGTATCAAGAGACTACCATGGTAGAAATATTGGTAGACTACAGTCTACCAAGTAGAGGTACTGTTGGTTAGGTAACTCAGTTGGACATGCTCTGGTATACTAAGAAGTACATAAGCACTAGTGAGAAATGGTGGTTATCCAATCAGGTAGGGTAACCCAAGTAGACAACATGGGGGTTAATCTGAATTGCTCTACGGTCAGTCCGAGTAGAGTTACCCTACCTATAAACTAGAGTTATCCTACCTTAGGCTACAAGTTATCCTACTATGGAGCCAGGTTATCCTACCTTGAAAGTAACTTGTTACACAGGACTTCAGGTGAAGTTACTAAATTGTTTGTCATATAAAACTACAAAGGGTATTCAAATCTCGGATTGTGCAAATCACTTCTGCACAACCAGTTGAGCTTCTACCAAGATGTAACTTGGAATTGTGGTAGATAACACCCTCCTCCTACCTGTTATAAGTCCCTATTGTCATATGTGACAGCATGGAGAGTTGCTGTAAGTATAGTCAAAGTCTGCTGGTAGAAGCCCTTCTGTAGGACCGTATATACTCACAATGTCTGGTCGACCAGAAGCTCTCTATAGGATATACATGTGAGGGTAGAGGAGAACCTAGAGAGCAGTCTCCAGGTAGCTTCATACAAAGTGAAGTAAAATTGATCGAGTAATACCACATTGAAGTTTGAAATAAAATCTGAAGTTACTGGAAGCCAATAGGTGAAGTAACTGAAGTTCATTGCCCCGAAAGTGTAATAGTATTCCAGAATCGTTAAGGACTCTAAACTACTAGTCTGAGGTCACAATAAGTACTACTTCTAAGAGGGTTGACTATTATTAGTACCTATTAGTAGTCATCCTCCAAAGTGGTCTATTGTTAGAGTGACATGACCATCTTATGCAATGATATGGAATAGAGTAGAACTGGATAGATGTTCAGGGGGTGCAGGAACTTGGAGAAAACTTAGTGTATATGGGTAGAGAGTTCTATA